GCATGTTGAGTCCCCTAGTTGGTTCCAAGTGCATGGCGTTTTCGTTCAAAAATCGATCAACGGTATCATCTTCCCGACTGCTTCAACATTCTGAATCCTTTTGCTAGAAAAGTGCGATCGTTCTGCACTTTCCTGTATTCCCAATATTATACTTTCATATGAAAGCAAATACATCTGCTTTCGATTACAAATATTTCATTCTCTTCTGTATCGATTATTCATTGAGTATATTTGAATGGTCCAATGGAAATCAACCGTTTTGTGTTTGGCCACCTGAACGTTTTTATAGTTCATTGATTTTTGCTAACGGCTAGACCTGCTGTGCAAAAACTTAAAGAAAATATTGAGACGGATATTTTATATTTATTTTTGGATGCTAAAACTCATCACTATCTCCCACCAGCAGAGCTTCAATCCCAAATGGTCTCTTCTCGTCTGTCTATCTACTGCCGCCTTGGTTTGGCCAGCAAGAGGCTCCTGTCGGAGTTAACTCGTTCAAGTAACCTCCTCGTTACCTGCTGGCTCGCCCAAGGTCGAAATCCCTAGCAGAAATAGGGTCCGATTCTGTGGGTCTCAAATCGTTTCCTTGCCTTGCTCCTTGCTACAGGACCATACACTGCTTATTCATTAGTTGTAAGTCCAACGTCAAAAAATTTGTCGTACCAGCAGCCTATTAGAAAGAATTGATGTCAAAAAACGGGGTTTCCTGTAGTCGTACCAATAACTGGTATCCATTTATTCTACTGCAGCTCACTTAATTGCAGCCCATCACATTAGCGTCCTGTATCTTACAGAACCTGATCCTTTTTTTCGGCCTTCAACATTTTTCTGTTGAACAACTCGCGTTTTTGTCTATCTATTTGCTTAACCGGTTCGTTTACGTGACCATTTCGATAGTCTTTCATTCTCTAACCAAAGTAGTACCTATGACTTCTTGCTTCTCGTATCTGCTTCAATCGCTGCTGAATATTAAGCTTGGACATAACACCTATGGATTATTGCTATTCCCGGTATCATGTAAAGTGCCTTGAAGCGATCACAATACGGTGGATTGCAGCTCAAGTATGGGCATCACTGGATTGCTATTGGACGAAGGACGACTTTTAAAAAAATTTGGCGTTGAAAAAACTTTTTTAATATGCGCCACGCATTCTACTTTCCCTCAAAATCGTGCGAATGCGTTATGGGCCACATAGGCAACGAATTCCGGGAGTAGCAGATGTACAAGTCAGTATTTATCCTCCTGGATGGGTGTGGTATCAATTGACCAACCTTGGAGGGATGAAAGGCGTGGTTCATAGATGCGAGATATGATCTGAATATTGCAATAGGATCAACTGGTAATGCCCTGAAGTGAAATGATGCTTCTTACTAGGAAGCGGTCAATCGAGGAAGCGCGCCCTCAAAGACACTGGGTCGAACTCAACCTGGTGCGTTCTTTTGTTCGAAAATCAGACAAAAAGTTCGATGAGGAAAGTCAGGGATAAGCAAAAAGCACCATAGAAAACACTGAATTTTTCCTTGTGAGGTCGGCCGTGTACGACGGAGAGACACAGCGCTGCGAGGAGAGGGAAAACGCGAGAGAGTACGTGGCACGCGAGAGGGCGCAAACGCCACGTATGCCGCGATTGATGAGCGGCAGCGTCGACAGCGTATAAGGGAAGGCCTCGCTGCACACTCCAGAGACGCGGCACTGTCGCGGCTCCTGGGCTTGGCTCGGCTCAACGAGAGGCTGGCTCTCGGCACGTAATCCCGAACCCATGGCTTGCGGATAACTGCTAGGGGGGCCCTTCCCTTGTCAAAAGCTGGGTTGAATCGGCACCGAGGATGTAAATTTCCCATATAACGTTGTGCGCACTGGACATAAGAACAAATAATGCACGACCTCGAGTCGTAACAAACTTCTCCCTACATAGCTCCTCTTATGAATCGAGGGTCAACCGTCCGTTGGGCAAAGTTC